AAAAAAAAAAAAAGAAAGAAAGAAAAAAAAATTCTATCAGAGTATTAAAAATGTTTTACGCTATTCTTTTTTCTCATTAAAATGAATTTTTAAAAAAGGAATTCTATCAGAGCTAGGAGTGGTGATGCATGCCTATAATCTTAGCACTCAGAAGGCTGAAGCAGGAGAATCACCGCAAGTTCCAAGTCAGCCTGGACTACATAGTGAGGCCCTGTCTCAAAAGACAAAACGTTTCTATCCTAAAAATCATTTCTATCCTAGCCCAGCATGGTGGGACATACCTATATTCCCAGTACTGAGGAGGCTGAGGCAGGTCAGTCAATAAGATCAAGTCATACCTAGGAAAATTTACAAGACCCTGTCTCAAAATAATTTTTAAAAAGTGAAGGGGATGTAGCTCTGAAGTACAGCACACTTGGGTTTGATCTCTGTGCTGTTAAAAAAAAAAAATTCTATCCTGATTTAATAGGATGCACATGAGGTTGGATTCAACTTCTGAGTTAGACTCAATTTTCAAAATGACTATGAAGTATGGTTCTCAGAACACAGTACTTTTGCTCAGTGATTCATCCCATTGCCTCAATTAGAAAAAGCAAGCAAAAAGAATTACCTGCTTTATGTGTGGATTCATGGCCATTTCAGTCACGTTCTTCTTGGTCTCACAGAAGATAATGGCCCTCCCTTCAGACCCACTGTAGACTTGTAGGACATCTCCGATCACGGCTGGTCTCTGAGACCAGTGGCACTGGATGGCCAAATGCTTAGGGAGAAAAAAGGTGAAATTTCTGTTTGGTCAAAACTATTGAACAAAGGTTTCTCTTACACATTTTTTTCTATCTGGTCAAAAGCTGGCCTTCTTGGAAGGTCAGAAATTTTCCTTAACTCCATTTAAAAACAAATAAATGAACATCAATATGTGAAAGGATAAATTGTAGTATATGCAAAAAATGTATAGTATACACCAACTTTATTTTATTTTTTTGTGGAACCAACCGGGGATTGAACTCAGGCCCTTGCGCTTGCCAGGGAAGCCTTTATTCCACTGGGCCTTCTCCCCGACCCCTACACCAACTTCAGAATTTTCTGATAACATGAAAGAAAAATACAGATGAATTTCAAAAAAATGTCAACTGAATTAAGCCTTACAGGAAAAGAATACACAGAGCATTTTCTCTCTTTTTTGGTACAAGGAATCCAACTCAGGACCTTGTGCTTGCCAGGCAGGTGCTGTGCCACTAAGCTATATCCCTGGCTGCCACAGAGCATAATTTATATGAAGTTCTATAACAAGCAAAACTAATCTACAGTGGAGAAAATCAGAGCAATGGCTGTTTCTGGATGGAGAGGACTACAAGAGGAGCTTTCTGGTATTGCAGAAATACTTGGGTGTTTTGGGTTTTTTTTGTCTTTTTGAGATAGGGTGTCACTTTGCAGTTTAGTTTGGCCTCAAAGTCAGTGACCCTCTTGCCTCAGCTTCCCGAGTGCTGGGGTTACAGGTGTGTGCCATCAAGCCTGGCAATACTCAGTATCTGAGTGTTGTGGTGTTTATAATTTCAGCTACCCAGAAGACTTAGTGGAATCACAATTTTGAGCTCAGCCTAGGCAATTTAGCAAGACCCTGTCTCTAAATTTAGAACAGAAAAAAAATTGGGGATGTAGTTCAGTACAAAGGTCCTGGATTCAATAAAACTAAAACAAAAGTATCTGTGTGCTTGCATGAATGTGGGCATGAGTTCAATCCCAAGAGCCAAATACCCCTCCAACCAACAATCCTCACTGGGCATAGCAATGCATGCCTGTAATCCCAGCACTTGAGAAGCTGAGGCAGGAAGATCTCTGCAAGTTCAGGCTAAGTCTGGGCTAAGCAGTGAGTACAAGACCAATTTGGAAACAATGAGATCCTGTCTCAAAAAAAAAAAGAAAAACAAACCCTGAAAAATCACTCCATTTTTTGTTTTCTCTTTTTAAAAAGCCTTTAGTTAACCTTTTGGTACATATACAATTACATGAACATGAAATGATGACTGGAATGTTTCAAATGCCTGGGTGAAGAATGTATGAGGTATGAGAATGCATGAGAATATCTAAAGAACTATCATTTACTGGTACAGTTAATGTTGTTGTAAATCTTACAACCATTACAAAACAACAAAGCTTCATTTGATTACCTAGCACTATAATTGTTCCCTTTCCAGAAATAAGTCACTATTCGATATTTTTTCAGATCTACTTTTATTCATTTACATAAATACCAAAAAATCTATTTAGTACTACAGATGTGTTTTTTTTTTTTTTTTTCCGGATGTGTTTTTAAATAGCATGATTATGTAATTTGTTTCTGTCTTTGTTTTGCAGAGCTGGGAATCAAACACATGTAACTGAGTTTCTATCTTCCACTCAATTCATCCTTTTTAACTGTTGCTTTTTATTCTATAGATTATACTATTGTTCATGTAGTCCCATTATATATAAATGTGTGTGTGTGTTGTGTGTGTGCATATATATATATATATATATATGGCCAGCCAAATAGCTCAGTGGATTAAAGTACCTGTAAGCAGGCACAGGTACCGGGGGATTTGATCCCCAGGCCTGCTGTGCAGGCCCCGCCCCCAGGGCACGCTGAGATGGCAATTGAGACTGGGCATGGTGGCACATGCCTATAATCTCAGCTCTTGGGAGGCTGTAAACAGGTGGATCACTACAAGACTGATCTAGTAGTGAGACCCTGAAAGCCCTATAGACCCTTCCATAAAAATACAAAAAAACTTGGGGTAGTGGTGAGAAATAATAAATAGAAACAATGGCTTACTATATGGGAAAAAAAAAAAAAAAAAAGAAAAGAAAAAAAAATGTATATTGTATATATGAGCATATTATTCGGAAAAAATGACACGTTAAATATTTGACAGCCATAAATACCATAAGCATTACGTTTTATTTTTTAGAAACATAGTATTGGTTTTTTTTTTCTTTTTTTTTATATATTTAGTACAGGATCTACATGGTCTCACTACACAGATCAGTGTTTTAGTGATCTTCCTGTTTTCAGCCTCCCAAGTGCTGGGGTTACATGTGCGCAACACCACACCCAGCCTCAGCTGCTCTCTCAGTGTGCCACAGGGGCAGGGCCGGTATGGCATGTGGTGCTGGGGATTAAACCCTGGTCACTGCCCTTTGCCTAAGCAGGCTTTAATCTGCTGAGCTATCTGGCTGGCCCTTTTTTTTGGTCTTTTCGAGACAGAGTTCTTGCTATGCAGTTCAGGCTGAGCTTGTTTTGTAGCTCAGGCTGGTCTTGAACTCACAACGATTCTCCTGAGTCAGCCTTCTGAGTGCTGGGATTACAGGCAGGCTCCACCATACCTGGAGATATTGGCTGAATTTTCACATAACTTTTCCCCCTTTTTTCTTCTGGTAAGTATGTGTAAGACTGAGGAATGAACTCAGGGCCTTCATACTGAGCTACATCTCCAGCCCTTTTGATTTTTGAGATACAATCTGGCCAAGTTTCCAACAGCCTAGGCTGGGTTCCAACTTAAAATCCTTCCGCCTCAGCTTGTTAAAATATTGGAGTTACAAGTGCACGCCATCATGCCCAGACATTTTTTCTTTTATGTCAGATAAAACCTCATTGGCCCACACCTGTGATCTTATTACTAGGAAGCTGAGGCAGAAGGATCAATGAGTTCAAGGCCAGCCTGAACTACAAAGATGAGGCCTTGTCATGTCCTCTTTGTCATATTCTAGCTATTTTCAGCTGGGAAAGGTGATTCATGCCTATAATCTCAGCACCTGGGAAGCTGAGGAAGGAGGATGGCTACCAGCTCTAGGCCAGCCTGGGCTACATA